GATAGAATATTGGTATTAGAAAGATAGGCTTTTGTTTCTAGCAGAAGTTTATGATCATTAAATGAGTAATGTAATTTCCTGAAGTCAATTTCACCTGCTCTCCTCTTGTTTTTCTATATCAAGCAAAAAGCATTTATTAAGCACTATGTACCAGGCACCATGCTAGGTGCGGAGGATACAAATGCCCTACTCTCAAGGGGCTTCCACTTATTGGTTCTACATCTGCCCTCTAGTGCCAGGAAGAGCAAATGTGGATTTGGACCATATGACCCCGATGGCTCCTTCCAGTTCAGAATCCTGTGATTTTAATCTGAACAAGAATCCTTCTACAACATCCCCAACAAGTGGCCATCCAGCCTCTGCTTGAAGACCTCCAGCTACAGGGAATTAACTACGTCCTAAGGCAGAACAGTTCCATTTTTGGACAACTTGAATTGTTAGGAAGTGTTTCCTTATATCGTACTGAAACCTGCCTCTCAGTGATGTCCATCCATTGTTCTTAGTTATGCCTGCTGGGGCTAAGCACAAAATGTCTATTCTTCTACGTGACGATCCTTCAAACACCTGAGAAGAGTTATCATGTCTCCTCTTTTTTTTTTTTTTTTTTTGGTCAGACTAAACATCCCATTTCCTTCGAATGGTCCTTACATGGCATGATCTTCAACTTCCTTGTTATCCCAGTTATCCTCTGGAGGCACTCTAGTTTGTCAGTGTCTTTCCTAAAATATGGTACCCAGAAAGGAATGCAATATTTCAGATAGGACTTGACCAGAATGGAGGGCAGTGTATTATTATCCAGCAATACATTTTTGTTTTTTGTTTTTGGCCACCATGTTATGCTATTGATACACTGAACTTGCAAGCCACTGAAACTTACACATCTTTTCATAAGAACTGAATTTCCCCCATCCTATCTTAAAATTTTTTGAAGCCAAATGTAGGAATTTACATTTATCCCAACTGAATTCCATCTGATTCGATAATTCCCCCATGTCCCAAAGTCTCATTCCAATGTTTCATCATGATACTGTCAAGTCTTGACCAGACTGAAAGGCTTTCGATGTAGTCCTCATGGTAGAGGATAACAATAGCTAACATTTATACAGCAGTTATTATGTGCCAGGCACTGTGCTAAGTTCTTTGCAATTATTATTGCATTTGAGCCTCACAACAACTCTGGGAGGTAAGTTCTACTATTATCCTCAATTTACAGATGTGGAAACTGAAGCAAGAAGAGGTTAAGTCACTTACCCAGGGTCACAAAGCTAGTAAGTGTCCGAGGCTGGTTTTGAAACCAGGTCTTCCTGACTCCAGGCCTGGTGCTCTCTCCGCTACACCACCTAGATGCCTAACAATGTCTTCGGTCTGAGGACCAGTCTAGCTAAGTGACAGGGAAGTTATTCCCAGGCTAACCACAAGCTTATAGAGATTCTTTGAGTGTGGAATAACTCTCCAAATCCATCCATTCAGGTATAAAGAAGCTGTGATCTACACTGGCAGAGGGTCTGCCCAGCCAGATGATGTCATGGCAGTACTGAAGTAAGTAGACTGACTCCATTATACTAGTCTGCTGGGATCTTTGGGGATCCTGCCTCTATCATCCAGATACAGATATCATAAAATTTGCCTCCCAATTTTATGTATCCTGCACACTTGGCAAACAGCCACTCTGCCTCTCACACTTATTAGCTGTGTGACCACGGTAAAATCATTTCAGTTTCCTCATTTGTAAAATGGGGATAAAAATACCCACAGTATCTACATCATGTAGTTCGTTGTGAGGATCAAATAAAAAAATGTATGTAGGGTGTGGTATAAACCTTAAGCACTACATAATTATCATCTGTTACTATTAGTAGTGATAATGGTGATAATAACTTTGGAAAGAACCCTAAATGTCCTGTATTTCCTTCTCTGAAAGAAGCTTGGCTCTGAGCATCTCCCATCATTGAGAATTCTGTTGTTCAGTCCTCCAGGGAGACTCATTCCCAGCCCTATCCACTCCCCCATACACGCACACACACATACACGCCTGGAACAGACCAGACATGGGGCTAGAGTTCTTCCCCCCAGAGGGGCTGTAAGTTTATTTAAGAGCAGGAGTGAGTATGAAGTCACAGTTGTGAAGCAAAGGGCCCTTATTAAGCCAGTACTTACATAAACGTCCTCCCTCCCTTTTGAGGACAGGCAGGACTAGGGTGTGGGTACTCTTGGCCAGTGGCCATATTTTCTTTTACTCCCTTTAAAGAGGTTTGCCTCCTTCTCACCACACCTTATCAACCGAGCTTTGCCCCCACCCTTATCACTCCTGATCTGGTCTCATAGGCCTCTGCTCTTTTAATTGCTGGGTCAGAAGGGTGGGAAGGGCAGGCAGGGCATGAGAGGATGTGGAAAGGAGCTTATTTCTGGGGGGGCTCCCAGTCCAAGCAGCACAGACAGACAGCAGGCCACGGTCACAGTCAAAGTCATCTTTGAATCTTTCTTTGCTTCATTCCTCTTATTCCATCCATTTCTACATCCTGGTCCTCCTTCTCCTAGAAGAGATTGGCTCCCTTTCCATGGCTGCTACTCTAATTCAGGTCCTCTCTCCTCAGAGGAATCAGTCCCAGGGGATTAACCCAAGCTCGAATTCAATCCTTAAAACTTCAAAGCCCAACTGAAATGCCATCTCCTCCAGTCCCCTCATGGATGGGTTACTGCAATTGTTTCCTAATTGCCTCCTGAGGTCCCTGCCCCCTTTCTCTCCTGCTTTCAATCCATCCCACAATCATCATTAGACAACTCTTCCTAAAACACACTTCCATCATAATTCGATGTCACTCCCCTGCTGTTTTGCTATGCATATCCTGCTCTCCTGTCTTTGCAAAGGCTGCCCTCCATGTTCCTCTCCTCCCTCTCCACTCCTTGCCCCCTCCCACTTCCTTACTGAAATCTTCTCTTTCCTCATCTTACCTCTTGTTATCTCTAGCTCCCTGTAAGACTTAGCTTAAGCCCCACATCCTAGAGGATGCATTTCCATGATTCTCCACCCTGTCTGGTGCTTCTCTTTGCACCCTCTCCCTTCCTACTTGCTGCGCCTTTGCTATGTATAAACAGAGTGCACAGAAAGCTGGCCTTCAATCGAGGAAGACAGGTCAAGTCCTGTCTCTGACATATATTGGCTAAATGGCCTTTGGCAAGTCACTCAATCTGTTCAGAGATCTTGCTAAGATTATAAATTGCAGAGAAGGCGCCAACTATTACACTGGTAAAAGGAATTGTTGAGGGAGTTTCTTCAGCCAGCTGTTCCCTTTTCTAATGAAATCACTGGTCTGGTCCTTATCCCTATATTTTTATTTACTTCTCTGTGCACGTCTGTTGTCTCCCTCCAATAGAACATAAGCTCTATGAGGGCAGGGACTGTTCATTTTTGTCTTTGTAAGCCCAGTGCCTGGCAGATAGCAAGAAGTTAATCAGTGCTTATTGAACTGTTGAAAAACCATCAATGGTTCCCTAATACCAACTCCGCAGAATCCAAATTCTTAATCCTGAGATTCCGGCCTTCTTCTCTCTACCACGCTCAGGGACCCTATTTCACCTGGTTCACCAAGCTGGTCTGCTCCCATTCCCACTTCCTGACCTCTATACATTCCTTCTACTCAAAGTAATCACTTTAGCCTCTCTTTGCCCACCAGTACAGATCCTTAAGTGCTGCAGAACTCAGTGCAAAGGTGCCTTCCAAGACTACTGCCATCTCCCAACTTGTACGCTCATTATTTGGCACTGCTCAGCTCTTGGTCTTAGTCTCAGCTATACTGATTTTTCTGGACTGGTATATTGTCTATTCAGTTTTTTCACACGTGTATTCTTTCTTACCAGATAGATGGCAAGGATAGGGGCCAGTTCTTCTCATGTCCTACTGCCTCTCTCTATGGTGCCCGGGTCAGTGCTCAGCACCCAGTTGCTGCCCAGTCAACAGCATCGATTGGTTCTCTCTTTCCTCCATCTCCCATCTTGCTCAACAGTGACAAAAGTGATAGAAGACCCTCGTTCTTCAGCTCTGCCTTACATAGCCCCTGTCTGAATGATCACAACCACTCAAATGCTCTCTTGTCCTCTCCAGGAATAGTCTCCTCTGACCCCCAACTGGCCCCAAGCCCTTACCACCCCATCCTACCCTGCAATCAAAAATAGATCTCTATATACATATAATTCTCTTAATATAGAAGTTTTTTTTAATGCCTATCTGAAGAACCAACTACCCATGGCTCACTCTTTCTTCCCCTCAGGCACAGATTCTTTCTGTTCTACCCTCAACTCAGAGTTCCCTGCCTTACCAGCTGGGGCAGGAGGAGTTCCTATATTATTGTCTCACCCTTCTATTTTTCTATTCATCAATATTCCTATCCATTCTGCCACTCACCTCTACCCACTAATGTCCAAGTATTTCTTTGTCTCTGTCCTTCCATCAATCCATCCATCCACCACCCTCAGCTTCCCACACAACTTCCTATCTCCAATCCACTCAACAGCTTAATCCAATCTAATACTAATCTTATCACTCCTTCCATTTCTCTACCCATCCCCTCATAAAACTCCCAATTCCCCATCCAGTCACATATTTATTAGATCATATCTCTTTTCTCTACTTTCTCATCCAAATACTGATCTGACCCTCTGCCATTCAAATGTATGTCCATCTTTAAATAGATTTAATAAAAAACATAAGTGCAATGGTTCACAACTCCTATGCCATCCATCCTATCTCCATGGCAAATGGATTCTCAATCCCGCCCTTAACACCTGCACCAGCTCTCTCCCCCTAGAGTGGATCCTAGACTCAAAATTCTAAAGGGCCCACTGAACTTCAGGCCCTTTCTAGGTATTTAAGTCTTTTTCTCTTTCGTGTCTGGGCCTCTCTGCTACCATTCATCCTGTCTGTCCTGATCCTGGCCATCTGTCTGACACTGGGGTTGGGAGGTAGTGGGGGAGGGGGTATATCCTACCTCCTCCGGCTATAGCTACACCTTGGACTCGCTCTCTGGGGGCGGTAGACGGCCATTCTTCTCCTTGTCTCCTCCATTCCCCCAGCCTGGCCCCTCTCCCGCCCCTTCCTCCTCCACCTTCTCATCCAGCCGGCTGGGGATGGACCAGTAGAGATGAGCATCAAGCCGGGCAGCAGCCTCAGCCAGCTCTCGGGCACTGCAGGAGGGTGTGGGCACCTCGAAGGTCTCGTGGAAGCTGGCATAGTCCACCTCGTAGAAGCCATCCTCCAGGCTCAGGACGGACATGAAGCGGTGACCCCACAGCACCTCATCCACCAGATATGAGCTCCTAGCTTGGCATGTCATCCCTGGGAATTGGGGAGAACAGAAGGGGTCAAGCAAGGGCTCCCTTACCCCATCCTTCCCTCTATCATCCCCAAACACATAATTTCATCTCAAGGCCCCTTTGACCCAACTGTTATTGGTACCTGACAGACTCTTCCACATGCACTCAGGATCTTCATTCTAGCCCTTGAACACAGGCCTTGTCTCTTCCCCATCTTACTATGGGCACCCTCCCCCATCCTTTTCCTACCCTTTCAGTTTTGTCGAAATTTTGGTCAGCATTCTCATCTTCCAGAAAGCCATCCCCTACCAAACTTTCTAACCACCCCATACCTCTCCATACTTTCCTATCTCTCTAGAATTGATGTCTAGGGAATTGTCCATTTGCTATTGAAATCCGATGGAAGAGGCCTTATAAGTCCCTTAGTTCACCACCTCTCCCAATGCAGTAATCTTTTCTACAACAATCTTATCTGCTATTCTCACTTCAGATATGAGAGGTCTGGGGTTTACTCTTTGCAGTCAAGTCACTTAACTTCTCTTTGCCTCTTCTCAGCTGTAAAAGAAAAGACTACTGCCTAAAACAAAGGACTATTTTGTCCTTGGGCAGGGATAAAATACACCTGACAAGTTATATTACAAGTCAAACATATTCGCCTGGAGTCTTGGGAACATGATTGAGTGGGGTTTGAGATGAAAGTGGAAGAAAAAGGAGAGAACAGTCTGCAAAAATGTTATGAACCCAGTATCATGGATACCTATGTTATATTTATATCTATAACAGATGCAACAAAAGGAAAAAAAGATATTCCATCATGGTTACAATTCCTTGTATCTGTCCCCCTCCCTCCATTCACATAGTCACCATTTCAGGTCAGGGTTGCATCACTTCTCACGTGGACTACTGGATTGCCTCTTAATTGGGCTCCCTGCCTGGAGTCTCTCTCTTCTCCTATCCATCCTCAATACAGTCAACAAAGTTATTTTCCTAAATGTTGTTGTTACTGTTATTCAGTCTTGTCTAACTCTTTGTTACCCAACTTGAGGTTTTCTTGGCAAGGATACTGGAGTGGTTTGCCATTTCCTTCTCCAGCTCATTTGACAGATGAGTAGACTGAGGCAACAGGGTTAAGTGACTTGTCCAGGGTCACACAGCTAGTAAGTGTCTTGAAGCTGGATTTGAACTCAAGTCTTCCTGATTACAAGTCTGGCTCTATATCCACTGGGCCACCTAGATGTCCTAAAGCTTAGATCTGACAATGTCACTCTCTTACTCAAGAAATTTCATTGGCTCCCTATTGCCTCTAGAGTTAAGTGTAATCTCCTCTAGCTACATCAAAGAAGCTAGGTAGCATGGTGTATACAACACTGGGCCTACAGTCACAGCTGCACTGCACAGCTATAGTAGCTGTGTGACTCTGGGCAAGTCACCTAACCTCTGTTTGCTTCAGTTTCCTCAATTATAAAATGGGGATAATAATAGTATTTACCTCCTGGGCTTGTTGTGAAGATCAAATGGGATAATAATGGTAAAGAGCTTAGTCTGGTAGTTGGCCATGATAAGCACTTAAATGGTTTTTCCTTTCCTGCTGTTGGACATTTAAAGCTCTTTAGAACCTGGTCCCAGACTATCTTTTCAGCCTTATCATACATTACTCCCTGCAGTCCAGCCAAACTGGAGTTCCTGCTTCACCTCACCCTGACCCTTCGTCTCCTATTTCCATGTCTTTGCACTGTCCATCCCCTTTGCCCTGAATGCTTCCTTCACTCTTCCACCCTTAGAATTTGTTTTTCTTCTAGGCTCAGATCAAGTACTACCTTTTACATGAAGTCTTTCTTCATCATAACAGCTCCTCCCCATCCCCTCAATAACCTTGTATTTATTTTGTATAAACTTACATATGTACATGACATTTCCCCCATTAGAATGTAAGTTCCTTGAGGAGAGGAACTGTTTTCATTATTTTCTTTGTATCCTGAGTGCCTAACATACCTGGCACATCATAGTCATTTAATAAATACTTGTTGCTTGATTGATTGACTAGCACTCATTTATGGGAGACAGTATCTTAAAAGAGACAGAGCCTTAAAACTCATGACCTCAGTTGTCTAAATACAAAGCAATGTACAAAGAATGGGGAATAATCAGAGGCAGTTAGAGATACTAATTTCAAGGAAGTAAATTAGACCTCATAGGTAATTATAGTAATAATAGTTTACATTAATACAGTGCTCTAAGGTTAACAAAATATCTTACAAATGTGCTTTAAAAGCCTAGGAGCTTTTATTATTGAGAGGAGCAGTCACTTCCTTACCACTACCAATACCATCTGCCACCAATGGGCAGGTAGGTCCAAGAGCTCTGGAAATAGCAACATCCCCCAGATCAATGGCTCTGTTCCAGCCCAGTTCTTGAAGCTATTATAAGAGGAACTAGCTCTTGTGGAAAAGAGGACAGCCATCCCTACCAAATGCCACCTACAAGGTAGGCAAGCTAACCTACTGAAGTAGCAAGGTACCCTGAGGGAAAGATAAGAGGCCGTATGTGCCAGGCAAGTCAAAATACTGTCACCACCCTAATCATCACCTCCCTCAAACCCTGACAAAGACATCCCAGTCCCCTAAACCCAAGAGCCTTGGGAAGAACAGTGCCTCCAAACCCCAGGCCTTGCTTCCAGCCAGGGCCTTACAGCCTTCATTAAGGGGAGCAATCACTATGAAGAAAGGGCCCACTTTCTTCACCAACTGCTGACCAACTGTTACCAACACACACGTAAACCCAAGAGCACAGGGAGTGGAGAGCATCTTCCAAACTAGCAGCCTACCCCCTGAAGCCATCATCCTGGGAAGCAATCCCTCTAGGGATGAATCCTGGCAACTGCTTCTACAGATAATGGAGACCTGCTTCCTTTAGCAGGCACAGTTATTGAAGATGAGAAAAAGAAAGTTCTCATCAGAAAGCCCTTGGCACTGTCAAATGGCTCAGTAAGAGAAACATGATTTCATCAGTGGAAATTACATTAAAGAAGATGTATTACCATTGATAAATGGTCAAAGGATATGAACAGGCAGTTTTCAAAGGAAGAAATTCAAGCTATCAATAGCCTATATGGAGATATGATTCAAATCATGATTAAGGAAATGCAAATTAAAGCAATGCTGGGATTGTACCTCACCCATATTAGATTGACAAATGTGTGCGGGAAAACTGGCACATTAATGGCCTATTGATGAAGCTTCAAATCGGTCCAGTCATGCTGAAAAGCAATTTGGAGCTATGCCCCCAAAGTAATTAAACTGTACATATTCTTTGATCCAGCAATACCACTAGTAGGCCTACCCCCACAAAGAAATCAGGAAAGAGGAAAAGGCTCCATATGCACAGAAATATTTATAACAGTTGTGTTTTTGTAGAAGCAAAGAACTGGAAGGCAAGAGGATGCCCATCAACTGAGGAACGGCTGACCAAATTGGAATACTATTGTGTCATAAGAAATGATGAAAGAGGTGGCATACTTAAATGAACTGCTGCAGAGTAAAGGAAGCAAAACCAGAAGACTCCTAATCCTAAATCTGATACCCTACTTATTATACTATGCAACCTCTAAAGGATTTTTTGTTTTAACTTTTTCTAAATTGTGGGGGAGGGGCTATGAGGAAGATCAAAGAAAAAATAGAACTATTGCTTTGAGTGATAAAAGTATTAGGATTGATGATAGCAAGAAGGCCAAACTACTCCACTCATATTATTTCTGTTTAATCTTCCAAGGGGAAGGATCCTTGGACTAGGAAAGACAGAATAAAAATGATTAGCAGCAAACAGAAAGCCAAGCTAGTTGAGGAGTTGACAATACAATATTTGGCTGCCCCCAATGAGTTCAAGTCAACGTTGTGCAATTCTGCCTCACTTAAATCCAATTCACGTGCAAGTCAAGTCATTACACTGTGCTATCACTGGTCCTCTTTGAAACAAAGGAAAAACAACAAGTCAATAGACCTTGTTGACTTGGCTCCTGGCCCTAACAACCGGGATGCTAACACTCCTCCCCTACTCCCAACCTCATAATTGGGGACTTTAGTATTTAAGTGGATGCCTCCTTGAACAGCCTGGCCTCCCGATCATCAGCCTCCTCAACTTCTACAGACTATATCTTTTCTCTACCTCAGCTACCCGTGCCAGTGGTCATACACCAGATTCACAATCATTTGAAACCTTCATGATCTTGAACTCTGAAATTCCCTTTTCTGTTCAAATCTGTTTTTCCATCACTCCCCCTATATTCCTAAATCGGTTCTTCATCTTTATTATGAACTTCACAATATAATCACAGAATTTCAGGGTTCATTTAGTGCAACTCATCCTTGAATAGGAATTCCCTGTACAGCATAACCCACAAGTAGTCGTCATCCAATCTTTGCTTGAAGATTTCAAATAAAGGGAAATCCACTAACTAAAGAGGTAGCTCATTCCATTTTTTAATAGATCCAATTGTTAGCAATTTTTCCCTTACATCATGCATAAGCTTGACTATTTGTAATTTTCACCCAATGATCCAGTGTAGCTCTGTAGGGCCAGAGAGAATAAATTTAAGGAGGTTACACCCTAATGGGGAAAGATAACACATAAAGGGAAGAAAGGAAGGGAGGATATGCGAGTTGTGGCATGGTTTAAAAATGACTGAAAAATGAAGTAGAGGCCTGGTGCCGGACAAGATAAAGCAAAAGGTCACCTATCAGAGCTGAGTCCCAGCAGCAGAGTACAGGTACAAATGAGAAGGGGATAAGGAAGATGGACAGAATACAGGAAGCATGATTTGGAAATGGTCAGGAAGTCTTAGAGAGTTGATGAGAACACTAAGAGGCTGAGTGACTTGCCCACAGTCACACAGCTGATGGTACTTGAAATCAGGTCTTCCTGAGCCAAAGCTTGTTATCTCTCCACTATGCTACATTGCCTCTCATCTTGCCTCTCTTATGGTAGGTGCTTTTTGATTGGCTAACTGGATTCTCCATCACTGGAGGTCTCACAAAAGCTGAATAACTATTTGCAAATGATACTATTAGGGGAATTCTCAGTCAAGTATGGGTTAGACGAGATAGGCTTTGAAATCCTTTACAATTTTTAGTTCCTATGATGCAGTGATTAGCTTTTCAAGGTCTTCCTCAGCACTAAGAGATGGAACACTTAATCACCGCTTAAACGTTACCAATAATGACAATTATAGTCCTTTGAGAAAAAAACCTGTTCCACTGTTGGACAGTTCTAATTGTTGATCAATCCACAGTTTATTGAGCCAAGATCTGTTTCCCTATATTTCCTACCTGTTAATTCTTGCTAGTTCTGCCTTCTGGAGCAGCAGAGAATGAGTCTATTCTCTTCCTCAGTCATACATAGATTTGAAGTCAGCTCTTATGTGTCTTTAGTCATTTCCACATCAAACAATCCCCATTTCTTCAATTATTCCTCCTGTGACAAGGTTTAAAACCTCATCAACTTCATTATGCTCCTTTGGACATACTTTACTTTGCCAACATCCTTTTTTTTAAAGTATGGTGCCTGGAATTGACCACAACACATTGGTATTAGTAAGTAAGGTCAGGAAAGCTGGACCTTTCTCCCCTATAGATCTGCCATAGAAAACTAGTTTCCCTCTCAACACTGTGAACCCATTGCCTGAGACATCTTTGAGTATAATGAGATTTTATTTTTCCCATGATGGATGCTAGAATATGAAGTACTATTGGAACTGGGTTGGGGCAGTGTGGGGAGAGGTAGAGGTATTTGGGAGGTAACAATGAGGAAAAGGGCAGGTGGAGCAGTGGCTTAGGAAGCACTAGGAAGAGAAGGGAAAAGACTGGAGTGGTGACACAGAGGTATGCTAGGGATGATGGGAAGATAGTAAAGGAATGGGGTTGGAAATACTGGGAGAAAGAGATTTAAAAACCTTGCAGTGCTGAAAATCTTGATTCTTAGATAGCTGTTAATCAGGGAGAGACCACCAGGGGGCAGCAGGAGCCCTGAGACCTCTCCATAGCAATTACAGAGCCCATTGTCTTGGGGGTAGGAGGTGTCTCAGCCTACAATTCTTCAATGACTGAGTACCATTATCTGCTGACCTTAAGCTCCTTTAGAACAGCCCCCACTCTCTGGGAGACTGAGAAGAAGAGTCAGAATAGGTGGGATGACTGTTAGAGAGGACCCTTTAAAAGTACTGACACAGAAGCAATGCATTTCTTTGCTCCAACAACTAATACCTCCATCTCCATATCTCCCCCATATCCTGGCACTTAGTCACTTGTCCCCCACCCCCAAGCTCCTATTCCCTTATCCCTATCCTTCTACCCCACCCCAGGTCACTTAATTACCCTTCTCCCATACCTCCTTTGCCCCCTCAGCTCCTGCTCTTCTGTTCTAGCTCTCTCGTCATGTTTCTTTCCTCCCCCAGCTACCTGGCTCTAATTCCCTCCAAATCTCCCAACCTCAGGGTGCTCCAACTTAACATTCCCCACCTTCTAGCATCCCTAATCCCTTTTTCTGTTGTGTGACTTTTGTTCATGTATCCCCCTACCTTTATACTTCCCCTATCTCCCAGACACCTGTCTGTTGTCTGCAGCTAAAAAAGCAAATGCATTCTTAGGCTTGTGCTGAGAGGCATAGAATACAGAGCAAAGGTGATAATTCTGCTGTACTCTGACCTAATCAGACTGTATTTGGGATATTGTGTTTAATTTTGGGTGCCATAATTTAGGAGGGACATTGATAAGCTTCAAAGTGTCTAAAGGGTGGTAATGAGACTGGAGATTAAGTATTCCTAGGATTTGGGAACGTTTAGTGTGGAGAAAAGAAGACTGAGAAAGATGTGATAGCTTTCTTCGGATATCTGAGGGGTTATACCACAGAAGGATTAGACTTTTCTGCTTGATTCCAGAGGCCAAGACTAGGAACAAAAGGTAGAAGGGGCAAAGAGATAGATTTCAGGTCCAAATAAGGTAAAATTTCCTAACAATTTGAGCTGCCCGAAAGTGAAATGGGCTACCTCAGGAGGTGGTGAGGCTTGTTTGCTTGTTTTCCCCAATAGGCTTCCTGCAAAGATTCCTGTTCAAGTATAGCACAACCTCTCAGGTCCCTTCCAACTCTAAGATATTGTGTCTCCCTCCCCATCCCTCAAGCCTCCCACACATGTTGTTCTACACCATTCTCCATCTTCCACTCTATTCCTCAGCCTTTAGGGCAGCTCTCCTCATTTCTTTGTCTACTTTGGAACACTTTTTCATCAATCCCTTAGGTCTATGGCCTCCTGCCTCCTTGCCCTCCAAGCTCCTGCCCATCTGCCAGAGGGCATTACCCCCTCCTTGACCTCACTGTCCAAGTTGTCTTCCCTTCAATGCCCCCATAAGAATGCCTATTATCCCCTCTAAGCATGCCGTTACCCTCTCCTCTCCCACCAGGGGTGGTGGCCCCCTTTCCCACTCTCTCTGTCTCCGTTCTCTCTGTATCTCCTCACCTCCACCACGCCACTCCCCCCACCACCCCGTCCCTTTCTTCCATGCCCCAGTCCCCGCACCAGTGGCCTCCACCATGCCCTCAAGGATCACCACGATCTCGAAGTCGTCCCTCTCGAGGGCACGGCGTGACGCCTCCCAGAAGGGGCTGGCGGCATCTATCTCGTGGCTGATGACCAGGGGCGAGACGAGAAAGAGGCGGTCATCGCCCGTGTCGAAGCCGACGCTGAGGTCGGTCTGGTGCAGGGGGATGAACTCGCCCTCGAGCGTCTGGCGCGAACGGATGAGTTTGGCGCGGATGGAGGCTTCCACGATGTGAGACGAGCGCAGGTCGCCCACGCGGAACATGAGGCACAGGCGCCCGTCGCGCAGAGACACCACGGCGTGCGAGGAGAAGACGAGCGTGGCGGCGCGCTTGTTGGGCTGCGAGATCTTGACGAACATGCAGCCCACCATGAAGGCGTTGACCATGGAACCCAAGATGGCCTGCAGCAGCAGCAAAGCGATGCCCTCGGGGCACTGGTCCGTGATGACGCGGTGCCCGTAGCCGATGGTGGTCTCGGTTTCTATGGAGAAGAGGAAGGCGGCCACGAAGCCGTTGAGGTTGTTCACGCACGGCGTCCACGTCGTGTCCTCCAGGTGCTCCAGGTCCCCTCGGCCGTAGGCGATTAGCCACCAGATGGCGCCGAAAAAGAGCCAGGTGAGCGCGTAGGCGAGCACGAAAAAGAGCAGACTGAGCCGCCACTGCAGGTCCACCAGCGTGGTGAAGATGTCCGTCAGGTAGCGGTACGTCTCCCGCACGTTGCCCTGCTGCACGTTGCACTTGCCGTCCTTCTCCACGTAGCGCTGGCGGCCCCGTCGGGGCGGTCTCTCCGGAGGCTCTCGGGGCTCGGCGCGCGCCGCCAGGGCGCGGGGGAGACCCCCAGGAGGCTCCTCGGGCCCAGGGGAGAAGGCCGAGTTTTCCTGAGCCATGTCAGCAGCGACGCTCCTCGGAGGCTGCGGGGATGGAGGGACAGTGCGGGGTTAGAGCAAGGTCCTGGGAGATTGAAGCCGAGAGAGCCCCCTTCACCTCCACCTCCTTCACCTCCCCAGTGGCTCTGTCTGGAAAGGCCAGTACATTTGGACTTAGAATTAGGGGACCTGGCTTCCGATCCGCGCCCTGCCCACTATTACCTATGTCACCTTGGGCAAGGTGACACTGACTTCACCTCTCTGGGCCTCAGGCTCCTCATCTGTCAAATGATGCGTTTGACTAGATGATCTCCGAAGTCCCTTCCAACTCTAAGAGTAGAATCCTTGAGGACAGAGACTGTCCGTGTTTTTCTCTTTGTATTCCCAACACCTCGAATAGTGTCCTTCCTCCACATAGTGGATGAAATGAGGATGGGGTCCCAGTGCTACCTACCTCACAAAGTTGTCGTGAGAATCAAATGAGAGAAAGTAATATGCAAAGCACTTCGCCAACACTAAAGTGCTATATACATGTCAGTTATTATTATTTAAAATAAATGTTTGTGGGTTTGAATTAAATTTATTTGGACATTCTTTAGTTTCATGGGAATTCAGGATATCCGCATCCTAACCCAGAGCTCTAGGCATTTCACTTTACTAATAGTCCCCATTCTCTCTCTACTATGAATTACTTGATTGCCATTTTACCCTGTCCAGAACCCATAACATACTCCTCCATGGATCATTTCAGGCCACTCCTGCCCCCCCTTCCTCGCTGCCTTCCCAGTTCTCCTTTTCCTTTACTCTGGAAATAACTAAAAATGAGTCTTTCCCCTTTCCATCCTTCTCACCTCAGTTTCCCCATTCTTCTCTACCCCCACAAGGAGATAATAATAGCTCTTATTTATTTAGCACTTTTATGGTTTACAAAGTTCTTTCCTTGCAATAAGCCTGCAGGGAATGTGATGCAAATTTTTTATCCCTCTTTTCCAGATGATGAAACTGAAGGTCAGAGAGGTGAGGTGACTTCTCTGCAGTCATAGCTAGTTCTGCCTCAAACTCATTTTCTGACTTTAAATTCAGTACTCTTTCCACTAATACTATTTTGCATCTCTAGGAAGGCAAAAAAAAAGGAACTCTGAGTTTGGAAAATGAGTGATGGCTTTCTGCCTTAGGAAGCCTCACCTAGAAATTCTAACTGAGGGCTAACCACCATCCTCTCAGTCGCAAGGTCAGCCCAATTTCCTCTTGGTTCTGTTTCTCAGAAGTCATTGAAAGACAAGGAAGAAAGAAGTGCCCTCCCTCAGGCTAAGAGGGTCCCAAGAAGAAAGGGGACAGAAGCAACAGAACTGAGGTTAGGGGAGGCTGGACTTGTACCTTCGGGAGAGTTGTTGGTGGGTTCTGTCTCCCAGTATGCCTCAATTTCTCCATTAGAAAAAAATATATTAGGTCAGATTAAGTGAAGCTCTAGTACACATCCCAAACCCTTCAGTCCCTTCTTCCTCATCTCTCCTAGCACTTGACCTCCTATCTCACATTGACTGACCCACCCTTTCTCCTTCCCTAATTTTGGCCTTTTCCAAGAAGCTCACCCTTATTAGTCCTGCTACCTCCTCTCCTTTCCTTTTCCCCATCATAAAAGATCCCTCCCAGCAATCGGCGCCTGAAATTTGCCTGTACTCCATCCCCAAATCACCCCGGAGTCCCCAGCTTAAGTTGATAATTGGAGAATATAGAGAACAGAATGAAATAGGGTAGCCATAATAGGAAAGAGGGATATTATGGAGTGGGAAGAGGAGTTGGGGGAAGAGGGACTGACAGAAGGTCACTGTTGGCTTTAGAGTCTGGTCAGGACCTGCAGAAAAATTGCCTAGATTTGTAACTCCAGGCCCTAGAGTTACTGCAGCCATATTCTCTGTAAGAGGAGAACCTGAAAAAGGTTTCAGGGCTTAGGGGGCAGACCATACTTAGACAGATTCTCCAGGAAAGCTCAGAGAACACCATTCTAATCACAGAGTGTAGTATTACCCCAACTTTGAACAGGATGGTAATAAACAATTCCTTCCCTCTCCCCCCTCCTCCCATCACTGACCTCCTTTTTCCTCCACTGCGGCTGGAGTTGTCCTCCTGGAGTGATTTCTAAGCATTTGCCAACTCAGAGGCCCTAGGTCACTTAACAACCCAGCTGGCCCACAAGCCCCTGGCACTCCTCAAAGTGGTCCAGCCTCACTAGGGTCCCCAGGTATCCTTTCTCTCATCCTGTCTGCTAGACGACCCTCCCGCTTAGGACTATGAAGAAATCCAAGCATTCAGCTCCCTCTGTAGTAACCTTCTCCCCTCACCCATTATTCCAGAACTAGGGCTGACCCTCCTCCCATTCTCACCCCATCCTAACCCCTTTCTTCCAGTTAGAGTGAAGAGGGGCTGCCCTTTCCCTTGTAGAGGGTGGAAAGATCCCAAATGACACTTTCCATCCCGGGATCTGCCTAGTCTCTCCTTGCATTCCTCCCCACCCCACCTTATCCTCTCTGGGTTCTCGTCTTCTCTATTCCCAAAGGTCCTCAGTCTTTCAGTCCCCCTTAGTATCACTTCCCCCTCCCAAAAATACCACAGGGAGTGGAGTATATGAGTATTGGGGAAGTAACCATCCACAAGGTGGTCTGAAGAGAATTTGAGGGAGCCAGAACCCCCATCCCTCGTCCCATCGTCCCTACTGCCACAGAAATCAGGGCCCCCAGACCCTGAATCCCCCCTCCACAACTCAACTCACAGTGCATGGGGAGCAGAGGAGATAGCAGCAGGGCCCCCCAGGGGGTGGCGTCCATGCCCCTGACACCTCCCCCCCAGGGTGGCCCCCCCAGGAGATTGGAAGTCGAGGACACCACTGTTTTTCCTAAATTTAGCGGCAGCTCCGACCAGGACTCGCTATCTGTGTCATCCTAACTTCCCAGGCTCCCCTGCTCCTGCCTGTTTCCACGGTAACCAGTCTGGTGGCCTCCTAGGCGACGGCTTCCGCCCTCCCCCTACTCTTCCCCAATCCTGGGTACCACTAGAGGCTGATCAACACACTTGGTTATTTTTAGCTAATATTTACCACCCGCCTCTCCACTCCTCGCACCAGACCTCCCCCCTCTACCACCAAGGAAGTCAGCTCATTCTACAGAAACTCTTTTTTCCTTTTGTGAAATTGAGGGATGTAATAGGTTTGGAGATGGGGCAGGGCGTGGCTTCCTCAGGATACCAGAGATATCCCCCCACAGGGGAAGGTGGGGTATCTTACTTTACAAGGATACAAGAGAAATGAGCTATTCCCTGACTGAATCCAACCAACCATGAGATTCTTTAGGTTGTATTAGTCCAACTTTACCCTGAAGAATGTTCAGGGAAGACTGAGAGAGGGAGCCTGGGGGTGATGGAGAGGAGTGGGACAGGCATTAGGGAAGTATTGGCAGGCAGAAAGTTAGGGGCTCAGGGTTCCAGTCTTAGCTTCATCATTAATAAGCTGTGAGATCTAGGGTAAGTCACATAATCTTAAATTCTTTGGGCCTGAGTTTCTTTATCTGTCAAATGGAAATACCACCTAATTCACTGGACAATTATATCACCTTGAAATAATCTGAAAACATTTAAAAAATACATAATGCTGTAGAAATGTTCACTGCAAAACTTAAAAAAAAACCCTCATGATTCTATCTGTGTAGGTAGTACCTTCACTTATAAGTCAGAAAAGAGGTGTGTTCAAAAATGACCTCGGGTACCTCAGGTTTTGTGATTTTGGGCAAGTCACTTAACTTGTTTGTCTCAGTTTCCTCCTCTGTAAAATGGGGGTAATAATAGCACCCACCTCCAAGGGTTGTAAGGATCAAATGAAATAAAATTTGTAAAGCACTTAGCACAATGCCTGGCACATAGTAGGCACTAGATAAATGCTAGCCATTATCATCATCATCATTATTATTATTATTACCCTTCTATGTATTTAATGAATTTCTGTATATCCCCTCCCCCAAAAATTAGCCACCTGGGGGGGGTCAACCTATTGAATTTAGTTAAGTTGGTCATCCTCAGTTTCCTTATCTCTTGAATTGGGATAATATTAACTCTCGGGGTTGTTGTGAGGGTCGAATGAGATGATATTTATGAAGTTCTTAGCACTGTGCCTGTCACTTAGTAGGTGCTTAATAAATGCTTTTTTCCTTCCCTCTTTTCCTCCTTTGATGACAAGTGGACACTCTCACAGGACCCAGACTCAAAGTGTCTTTCCAGTTTGGTAGGGCCCAGCAGAGCTTGTACTCTCTCTGAGTAGCTCCACGGTGAAGTGAATGGAAAGAGCTATGCCAATACAAGATGCCATTAAGATCATTGTTGTTATTCACTATTATTGTTTCTCCTGTGATGTCCCTTTTTGATTCCTCGTGGTGGCATAGATAATCTAACCCTGGCTTCTGGAAGGCTACGTTTGCAGAATGTAAGAGGTGGCAGGTCCTATTATATGGCCTAGTAAGGGCCTGAATTTCTGTTACTTAGTGACCCTCTTAACCAGATTCATGGAGGTTCATCATCATCAACAACATTTATATTGTACATTAAGGTTTGAAAAGCCCTTTACATACGTTAACTCATTTGATCCTATGAGGTTGGTGCTATTATTATTCCCATTTTTCAGATGGGGAAACTGAAGCACAGAGCAGTTACATGGCTTGTTCAGGGTCACACAGCTGCTAAGTATGAGGAGCCTGAATTGAATTCATGTCTTCCTGATTCCAAGTCCTGCATTCTATCTAGTAGCTGGGTGGTGCAGTGGATAGAAGGCTGGGCCTGGAGTCAGGAACACGAGTTCAAATTTGGCCTTAGATGCTTACTAGTTTTGTGACCCAGAGCAAGTCACTTAGCCTTTACTTACCTCTGTTTCCTCAACTATAAAATGGGCATAATAATAGCATCTACCTTGCATAGTTGTGATGATCAGATGAGATAATATTTGTAAAGTGCTTAGAATAGTTCCTGGCACTAAGTAAATCCTTATTCCTTTTTCCTTTCCCTGT